ATCTTACATGAAAACCATGAAAAGACAGTGACATGATAGAAAGATGCAGCCTGAGCACTTACTTTTCAGAGCATGGCCCAAAGCTGCTAAATGTTGACAAATTGCACAAACACTAAACTACACAAAAATAAAATAAGAAACCAATCTGGTTCACAGTAGTAACAGGAAGAATAAGTTAGTGGGGGAACAACCACAGAAAAGATTTGTAAACTGAAATACGGTTGAAGAGAATTTAAGAAGACACAAATAAATGAGAAAAAATCCCATGTGGAGAGATGGAACAAATTAGTTTGTTGAAATGTCCATTATACCAAGAGAGATCATATTCAATGCAATCTCTATCAAAATTCCAAATGCATTCTTCACAGAATTAGGAAAAAAAGCAATCCTAAAACACATTTGAGACTACCTAGAATACTAAACAGTTGTAACAATACTGAGTAGGGCCAAAGCTGAAAACATACAACTTGACTGCAAACTATTTCAAAAAGTCACGGTAATCAAAACAGTGTGGCAGTATCATAGAAAACCACAAGTGGCCCACTGGAATAGAGGTCTCACAAATAAACGCACATATCTATGCTCAAATAATTTTCAAGAGGAAAAGTAAGGAATACACAACTTGGAAAAGAGAATTTCTTCATAAATGGTGTTAAAGAAACTAGCTATCCATGTGCAGAAAAATTAAACTGGATCCTTTAGTCTGTGATGACACCACAGACTAAATCATCTCAAAGTATACTAAAAGCTTAACTGTAAGACCTTTAATTGTAAAACTGAGAGGGAAACAGGGTAGAGATGCTTCCTTACATTGGTCTGGGAAATATGTATTTATATATCCCCCCCAAACCACAGACAACAAAGCAAAAAAAACTGAATGAAGAGAAACCTATCAAAGATAGTCTAGCTCCAGAGTTTACTCTCTATGACCTAAGACAGATCAGACCTCCCTAAGGATCCATACAATGTCCAAGCGTAAAAAACAAAAATGCTGTGTATGTCAGTTATGATGGTATGTGCCAATAAACTCAGCACTCAGGGCACAGAGGCAGAAGGATCAGAAGTTCTAGACCAGCCTGAGCTACATAGCAACATCCTGTCTCAAAACAACCTATAGCCATACAAAAGTAGCAAATAAAGCTACACAGTCAAGCCACACACTATGGTGCCAATGTTCTCTCTCTCTTCATCCTTCTCCACAGACTCAGTGAGAGGAGACCCAGGCAGCTTCCACACATGGGTGTTGACTGACTGCTTGGCTGGATTGTCATGGAAAGTAACCAGAAAGTCAGTTTCTCTTTAATCAAATATTTATTAACTTCAGAAATGGGACTTCACATGGGAACCAAGAAAGTGAAAGTAAAAACGAGAATATTACTTTATATTTTTCCTCAGTGAACAGAAAGTGAGTCCTGAAATGCCTCACCAGAAAAGTTATTAAAATAAAGGCACACTCACTTCTTCAGATTCTAAATATCTATGCTTTAAGGACATAAAAAAGTTTTCCACTATCAAAAGCAATTCATACCCAAAAAAGTCTGTTTATTTGTTTACTTTTTGAGATTATACTTTCTATAACTGTCGGGTAATTATCCAGCTGGGATATGCACTTTCATAGTCTTTTTTACAATATCAAAGCAAAGGCATGTCAGCCTTTAAGCATATGGGAAAAAGAGTATTATATCACCAGAGAGCTCTGCGTAGCCAGAGGACCCCTCAAAGTCTCTTTGGGGGACCATGGGGTCAGGAACAAAAAGAGTCTCTGAGAGGCCCTCTGTGTCTAAAGTCACTTACAGATACACATGCTCCAGTATTATCACTACTGTGGTCTAGAAACCGAAGTTATCCTTTACCACACTATGAGAACACCAATCTTTGTCCAGTTCGTCATTCTGGGACACAAGAACCTGGAACCCCTGGCAAGTTCTCACCAACCTCCAGTATCATCATGACCACTGAGACCTACCAGCCCTTAGTATCATCACTACCTAACAGCCCACTGCCAATCTCTTGCAAACCCCAAGGACTCTCTGAGTGAGAGGTCTGATTCCATGGGTCTTCAGTGTGAACCTTGGACTCTTCACCACTTTCAGAATACTTTCTCAACTCCTTATGAAACATGAAAAATTCTATCCCCAGCTTTGCTCACCTTTAGTTCCTGATGCTAGCACACACAACATGAAGTCTCCTGAGTAAACTGGGAGCATGCGGGGGTCAGAGACACGGGACACACACATAATGGATCAGGAGAGTTGGGAGAACAACAGAGGAGAGCAAGAAAAGAGAGACCTTAATAGAGGGAGCTGGTATGGGCTTAATGAGAAATCTGGCGCGAGGGAATTCTCCAAGAATCCACAAGGATGACCTGAACTAAGAATCTAAGCAATAGTGGAGAGGCTACCTTAAATGCCCTTCCCCTACAATGAGATTGATGACTGCCTTAAATGCCATCACAGAGCCTTCATCCAATAGCTGATAGAAGCAGAAGCAGAGATTCACAGCTAAGCACTCCTGGAATCCAGTTGTAGAGAGGCAGGAGTGATAAGCAAAGAGGTCAAATCATGCTGGGGAAATCCACAGAAACAGCTGACCTGAGCAAGTGGTAGCTCACAGACCCCAGTCTGACTACTGGGGAACCACCATAAAACCAAACCAGGCCCCCGAACTTGGGTGTCAATTGGGGGGCTTGGACAGTCTATGGGACCTCTGGCAGTGGAACTAGTATTTATCCCTAATGCATGAATGGGCTTTGGGAGCCCATTCCCTATGGAGGGATACTCTCTCAGTCTAGATACACGGGGGAGGGCATAGGTCCTGCCCCAAATGATGTGACAGACTTTGATGATTCCCCCATGGGAGGCCTCACCCTCCCTGAGGAGTAAGTAGATAGGGGTGGGATAGAGGTTTGGTGGGGGAATTCAAGGATAGGAGGGAGGGGGATTGGTATGTAAAAAAAAGATTGTTTTTAATTTAAATAAAAATTAATTAAGAAAATAAAAAATGAAAGCACTGAAAAAATCTTCATGAATAAATAGATGAATGAAGTCACCCCATTAATTACTAATTTTCTTGCTTGTGGTTTTCTAGTATTAATCTCCATCTTTTTTTGAAATAGATATATAAGCACCTTTCATTTTCTAATGGCCAATTTTACTTATAAAGCACTGGTCTTCAGAATTGAAGGGAAACATTCACTTCATAGAGAATCTAGGCTCTAAAACACATTGACCTGAGTTTGCTGTACGTCTCCCCACTCTTGACTCTATTGGATTGATGTGTGAGCTTTCAGGGTTCCTCTCAGCCATTTCCATCAGCAATCTTACTACCTGAGGTCATAAATACATTTTGACTATCCAAACAGGCCCTTCCTGGAGGAGCGGTCTGTTAAGGCTTATCTCTTGACTCTCAGGATAATTCCCCATTTTATTATAAGCTCTACCTTTGGATTTTTCTTTGTAGCTCTGGATTTTCTTTCCCTCAGGCTTTTACTTGCCTTTTTAAATTTTCTTCCTTATAACTCAGCTTTCTCCAGGTTATTGATAGAAATAAGGGAGACATTGATTTCCAGTGTAATTTGTGGCATTTGATGAGAACTTGCTGATATGCGCATAGAGTAAGTAAATCCTGAAGAATTGAGGAGTTTCTTTTATAATTGAATTGTTATAATAAAACCCAAAGGCAATTCTGACTGAATAGAATGTTGCTCTTGAATCTCGTCTATGATTTACAAGGCTGACTAAAAGAACTTTATCGTATTGGAAATAGTAGCCAATGATTCTTGGTCTGGGAGATGTCTTGTTCAGTAAAGCCCTTGCCCTACAAACATGAGGACCTGAGTTCAATCCTGAACCTATCCCTGCACCGTTTGATTTCCCTCTCTAAGCATCAACATCCTCAAGCCTGAGGTAAAAGTTCTTTTTGACCTGCACAATTGTTCTTTGGCCAGTTTTCCTATAGGCATCACAAACTCCTATTGATTGTCTAGAAGAGACTAAACGTAGTAACAGGTGCCCACCTGGATACCGTATGGTCATGGGTTGGGAAAGTGGATGACACTTGTAAGAAAATGGGGGAAGAGGCAGGAAGGAAAGAAATGGTGGGAGGGAGGGACAGATAGAGGAGAAATATGATCAAATAAAGGCAAAAATAGTAGTTGGGCTCTTAAATTACTTTCTAATATGTTAATGTCTATCACTTGTGTTTTTAAGATGCTTTACATGCAAGAACCAAGTGAATGTAAACAAGCATAATTTCTTCATCAAACCACAGAGAGGCTGATGCCATGGAATCGTCCATGAAATGAAAAGTAAGCATTTTGCTGAATCTTGTTGGCCCAGCTGTGTAATTTTGTTTTCCTCAGCAACCCAGATGCAATACACAGTAGAAATATTCAGGCACATGAATCTTGAGCAGGATACGCCAGTTCTATCCTTTTTCTCTGATACCTGGTAGACAGGGTCTTGCAGGGCATCTCTTTTCTCTTTTCGGGGACCTGACCCGTGTCCATGGAGCAAGAAGACTAACAGAAGAGTCAGGCAATGAATGCTCTAGAGAGGATCTCACTATCACTGTTCTTTCCCCCAAATTCCTCTGCTCTACCATTACTCTCTCTACTTTTCCATTCGCGCCACCTCCATTCACTAATAGGTATTGAGAATGTTAACTCTAAATGCAATTGATGAAAAGGGAGCTGTAATGGGGCCTTATAAGTCCCTGTACATGTAAATATTCACATGTGTAATGAAGCCTCAGAACAGCCGCCAAGTACAACCTGGTTACCTTGATTCAAAGAATGGCAAGCACTGTCTGAACCAGTTCCAGTGTCAGACACAAACCGGGGCTGACCTCCAGCCCTGGCTCTCCCAGCTACTGAGAAACGTGTGAAAGTTCCTAAAAACGTACTGTACAGTAAAGCAGCAGGCAGGCTTACCCAGAGTTTTAGTAGAGATTTTATTTGTTTATTTATTATTTACTGAAGTTACATAAACTATTAAACTTACCCCAATAGCAGCTAAGATTGGAGCCTGGTAAATCCACCGGTCTCCAGCACTAAGTTCCCAACACCTGAGATGTAGAACAGAGGAAGGAAGGAAGGAGGGAAGGAAGGAAGGAAGAAAGGAAGGAAGGAAGGAAGGAAGGAAGGAAGGAAGGAAGGAAGGAAGGAAGGAAGGAAGGAAGGAAGGAAAAGCTTAATGAATAAATTTGGCAAAATAAATAAATGAGAATTAACTCTAGCCACAGCTGCTTCTTTTGGAGAAAGAAATACATTTTTAAAGTTCTTATCCCGATTTCCTTACCATGAGGGAGTCTGTATATGAGTCTTATAATATTGGGTAGTTACTTCTATAGTGGACAGGTCAAGACCTTGTTTCTGTAGCCACAAAAGAGACCCCTAGTTACCTATTTGTGGCACAATGGTACTTTGCTTTTGTTGGCAGTACAATGAAACATAATAATTATGTATTTTTTATTTAAATTTTAATTAGAAAAAGGTTGCTTCACATGTCAATTCCAGGTCCCTCTCCGTTTCCCTCCCCTCCTCCCGTGTCCTCCCAACAACCCCCCCAATATCCCCTCATTTCCCCAGGGAGGGTGAGGCCCTCCATGGGGGTGTCCATAGTCCGTCATTTCATCCAGGGCAAGGCCTAGACCATCTCCCAAGAGTTCAGGGTGAGAGTGCATCTCTCATTGTTGGATGGGAGTCCAAAGTCCATTTGTATACCCGGGATAAATACTGATCTACTACCCAAGGCTCAATAGATTTCCCTATGCCTCCTCACTGACACCCACATTCAGGGGGTCTTGATCAGTCCCATGCTGGATTTCCAGGCATCAGTCTGGGATGCAAGAGCTAACCCTTATCAGGTCAGCTGTTTCTGGGGGTTAAACCAGCCCAGTCTTAATGTCTTTGGTCATCAGTCCTCCCTCTCTGTCACTGGATTTCTTGAGTTCAGCTCAGTGCTTAGCCGTGAGAGTCTGCCTCTGCTTCCATCAGCCACTGAATGATGGTTCTGTTTCCCAGACTCTCTGACCACGGGACTATAGGCTGGCAGTCCCCAGATCTATGTCTAAAATCCATATATGAGAGAGTATATGACATGTTTCTCTTTTTGTGACTGGGTTACCTCATTCAGGATGGTTTCTTCTAGTGTCATCCATTTGCCTGCAAATTTCAGGATTCCATGTTTGTTTTTTCTGCTGAATAGTACTCCATTGTGTAAATGTACCACATTTTCTCTATCCACTCTTCAGTTGAGGGGCATCTAGGTTGCTTCCACGTTCTGGCTATTACAAATAATGCTGCTATGAACATAGTGGAACAGACATCCTTGTTGTATGAATGGGCATCTTTTGGATATATGCCTAAGAGTGGAGTTGCTGGGTCTTGTGGTAGGTTTATTCCCATTTTTCTGAGGAATCTCCATACTGATTTCCAAAGTGGCTGTACAGGTTGGCACTCCCACCAGCAATGGAGGAGTGTTCCCCTTTCACCACATCCTCTCCAGCATAAATTGTCATTGGTGTTTTTTATTTTTAGCCATTCTGACAGGAGTGAGATGGTATATCAGAGTTGTTTTGATTTGCATTTCCCAGATGACTAAGGATGTTGAGCACTTTCTCAAGTGCCTCTCAGCCATTTTAGACTCCTCTTTTGAAAATTCTCTATTTAGTTCTGTAGCCCACTTTTTAATTGGATACTTTGGTGTTTTGGAGACTTGCTTCTTTAGTTCTTTGTATATTTTGGAGATCAGCCCTCTGTCAGATGTGGGGTTAGTGAATATTTTTTCCCATTCTGTGGGCTGCCATTTGTCTTGTTGACTGTGTCCTTTGCCTTACAGAAGCTTCTCAGTTTCAGGAGGTCCCATTTATTAATTGTTGATCTAACTGTCTGTGCTACTGGTGTTATGTTCAGGAAGCTGTCTCCTGTACCAATTCGTTCAAGGGCACCTCCCACTTTCTCTTCTACGAGGCTCAGTGTGGCTGGATTTATGTTGAAGTCTTTGATCCATTTGGACTTAAGTTTTGTACATGGCGATAGACATGGATTGATCCACATTCTTCTACATGGCAGCATCCAGTTATGCCAGCACCATTTGTTAAAGATGCTTTCTTTTTCCATTGTATATTTTTAGCTTCTTTGTCAAAGATCGTTTTGTTCATACATGTGTGGGTTAATAGTAGGGTTTTCAATTTGATTCCATTGGTCTATTTTTGTGCCAATACCAAGCTATTTTCAGCACTATAGCTCTATAATAGAGCTTGAGGTCAGGGATGGTGATGCCTCCGGACGTTGCCTTGTTGAACAGGGTTGTTTTGGCTATCCTGGGTCTTTTGTTTTTCCATACCAAATTGATTATTGTTCTTTCAAGGTCTGTGAAGAATTGTGCTGGGATTTTAATGGGAATTGCATTGAATCTGTAGATTGCTTTTGGCAGGATTGCCATTTTTACTACATTGATCCTACCTATCCAAGGGCATGGGAAATCTTTCCATTTTGTGAGGACTAATTTAATTGCTTTCTTTAAAGACTCAAAGTTCTTGCAATACAGGTCTTTCACTTGTTTGGTTAGCGTTACCTCAAGGTATTTTATGTTGTTTGTGGCAATTGTAAAGGGTGATGTTTCTCTGATTTCTTTCTCAGCCCTTTTATCATCTGTATATAGTAAGGCTACTGATTTTCTTGCGTTGATCTTGTAGCCTACCACTTTGCTGAAGGTGTTAATCAGCTGTAAGAGTTCCCTTACAGCTGATTAACGGTAGAGTTCTTTGGGTCATTTATGTAAACTATCATATCATCTGCAAATAGTGAAAGTTTGACCTCTTCCTTTCCAATTTGTATCCCCTTGATCTCCTTTTGCTGTTGTATGGCTCTGGCTAAAACTTCAAGTACAATATTGAAGAGATATGGAGAGAGTGGACAGCCTTGTCTTGTTCCTGATTTTAGAGGAATTGCGTTGAGTTTCTGTCCATTTAGTTTGATGTTGGCTGTTGGTTTGCTGTATATAGCTTTTATTATGTTTAGGTATGTTCCTGTTATCCCAGATCTCTCCAAGTCCTTTATCATGAAGGGGTGTTGGATTTTGTCAAAAACTTTTTCAGCATCTAGTGAGATGATCATGTGATTTTTGTTTTTCAGCTTGTTTGTATGGTGGATTATATTGATGGATTTTCGTATGTTGAACCATCCCTGCATCCCTGGGATGAAATCTACTTGATCGTGGTGAATGATTGTTTTAATGTGTTCTTGGATCCGATTTGCCAGTATTTTATTGAGTATTTTTGCATCAATGTTCATGAGGGATATTGGTCTGAAGTTCTCTCTTAGTTGTGTCTTTGTGTGGCTTGGGGATCAAGGTTATTGAAGCCTCGTAGAAAGAGTTTGGCAAAGACCCTTCTGCTTCTATTGTGTGGAATACTTTGAAAAGAATTGGTATAAGCTGTTCTTTGAATTTCTGGTAGAATTCTGCACTGAGGCCATCTGGACCTGGCCTTTTTTTGGTTGGGAGACTTTTGATGACTGCTTTATTTCATTAGGGGTTATAGGTCTATTTAAATTGCTTATCTATTCTTGATTTAATTTTTGGCAAGTGATAGCTATCCAGGAAGTCGTCCATTTCCTTTAAATTTTCAAATTTTGTGGAGTACAGGTTTTCAAAGTATGACCTGATGATTCTCTGAATTTCCTCAGAGTCCGTTGTTATGTCCCCCTTTTCATTTCTGATTTTGTTAATTTGCATGTTCACGCTCTGCTGTTTGGTAAGTTTGGACAAAGGTTTGTCTATCTTGTTGATTTTCTCAAAGAACCAACTCTTCATTGCATTGATTCTTTGTATTGTTTCCTAGTTTCTACTTTATTGATTTCAGCCCTCAATTTGATTATTTCCTGGCGTCTACTCCTTCTGGGGGAGTTTGCTTCTTTGTGTTCTAGAGCTTTCAGCTGTGCTGTTAGTTCTCTGGAGTGAACTGTTCTCCAGTTTCTTCATGTGGGCACTTAGTGCTATGAACTTAATTTAAAAATTTTTGGCAAAAATATCTATCTCTTTCAGAAGTTAGAGCAATTTTATTTAATAGTTTATTATCTATAGAACTACAACAGAAAATTGAACACAAATGGTTCTTACCATATAAATAAAAACTCAGCTTCATTGATGGACTATAAATCATTAGTGTCCTCTTGACTAGATTTTGCATTTATTTGTAAATCTTCAATATTAAATTTCATGAATATAAGTGATTCATTCATGTCACATTTGAACCAATATAACATCTTCCTACTTACTCACTGAATAGGGAATTAAACATTTTGGAAGGTGTTCATGTAATATCTGTGTATGATCTATGATTTTATCCTTAAGTTTTACAGTTTATTTTAATAGCATTAGTAAAAAATACCTCACAATTTAGCTACTTGTTACAATTAATTCTAATTCCTAACTAAAATTTAAGTAATGCATAGTCAGAGATCAGTGTGAGAAGATGGCAGAGGTGTTGTGAGGTATCCTAAGTTCCCAGAATATATAGAATACAGAGGGTCATTAAATGTTTGTTTTATTGAAATGACATAAATTGAATCCATAATAAGTTTAACTCCACCTCACCTAATCTGATTTGTAAAAACTATACACTAGATTAAATATTACAGAGTTTTAAAATTATTTCTACTTACAAGTTTAATGTAATACTTAAAACAGTTGTTTTAAACTTATAGACATGTAAATAAAAGTCTTCCATTTCTTTCTACTCAAACAAAATTCAGAATTGATTATGCCCATAGACAATGATGGAAAGAATTTGGGGCAATAAAATGTTAATTTTTTAAATTTTAGATGATAAACTTATCAAGAAATTATGTTTACAAATACCTTATAGACAATGAAATGCTATTTCAATAATTTTTAAAGGGTAAAATATTTTCAGTCCATATATACAACTATGTGTTTTTAGAGTATATTTTTCACATACAAGTAGTACATTCTCACCTCAACAACCAAAATATAGAAGATTCATATACTGAGACACTCTGATCTTCCCTGCATTCTCTCATTATTTTATTAAGTATGTGGACAGTGCCTATGCATTTCTAAACGAATACAAACAGCATATGCTTATTTTCCCTTATTGCTGTATTTTGGATCTTAAATTGCCCTCTGTAATCCCTTGCATTTAAGGTCTTATCCCAGTGTCTGGCATCACTGGAAGGTGATAGGATCTCTACCAAGTGGCTAGTGGAAGGAAGTTCAACTGTTAGAGAATGCCTGTGAGGGAAAAATTGGGAGCCTCCAGCTCCTTCCTTTTGATTCCCAGATACCATGGAGTGAACAGCCCCTTCTCATTGTAATGAATTATATAAGCCCAACAACAGTCATGGGTCAAAACCTCTGACAGTTAAGCATAAACTTTCTCTTAGTTTTAAATTGATTGTCTCTAGTAACAGAAAACTGTGATGACTAACATTGATTATCAGAATGATATAATTTAGGATCACCCACAAGACAAGCCTCTGGTCCTATCTATGCATTTCTCAATGGGTGATTGATTTCTGAAACCCCACCATTGAATGGTGGCACCATTCAATGGGTGAGAGTCCTGACCTGAACAAAAGGAAGGCAGCAAGCAGAGTATACATTTTCATTTTTCTTTGTACCCTGACCACAGAAAAATGACCGGCCACCTCATGTCCTGCCTCCATGACTTCTCATCCATGGTACCCTCAAACTGTGAACCAAAATAAGTCCTGCTTAAATTGTTTTTGCCTGGTATTTTTGTCACAGGAGCAATACATGGAACCAAAACACTAACATAATTATCTCACAAAAGTGTAATCTATGTATTGCTGTGCAATTTTATTTTCCTTTGAATATACATATAAAATTGCATGTATAGATTTCCATATTGGTACCAAAATACATCAGTGTCACATGTGTTTTTGTAAGATTGTGACGCAGAGATCAACTAACTAATCTGGTCCCTCCCAACTGAAGTCTACACAGCCTATGAACTTGGAATCTTAAATAGAATGGAAATCCAAGACACAGAGCTGTTACACTTGCACATGGATCACTAAGTGGAACATTTCCAGCATTATTTTCAGGCTTCTCTTTCACATTACTCAATAGGCAAGAAAGATAAAAGAGTGTTACTAAGTTGCACACATCATGAATCACACTTCCCTCAAAAGCCTTCATCTATAAAGTCTTGATGTACCAGCTACAAGGCTTTTGGATCCCACACATTTTCATTTCAGTTTTTAGCATTTAATATGTCCTCACAAACTTTTTTCTCAGCCTCACTGACGTTTTAGCATCGTGTCTCCTAGCACATGGGATTCAATCATGCAATTCCAACTCTACAAAATCATTACATTTGAAAGTAGGTCAAAAATCTGCTGTCTCTAAATGCATCCAAAACTTGACTTTGATGGGTTAGGGTGTTAAAATTTCAAATTTTCTTTTTGACATAATAAAAGAGTCAAGTGAGATTTCAGATGTTTTCAAGAAAATGCTATAACTCCTTATTTTAAATTAATTTTTCAACAGTCCACATCATATACAGCTGAGGAACTAAACTCAGTTCAGATGTTTTTAAATAGATTTTAACACTCTAAGAATAAAGTTGAATGCTGTAGTTTCAGGCTCACCATAGTGAGTAAGCCAGCCAGACTACTATCCCTTCACTTTCCACCATATTCAGTAAAAATAGAGGAGGCAAGAGGGGCTGGACCCTGGAGAATATGCAAATCCTAGAACATCTGAGTGCATCTTTTTGTTGCCTTTTCTATTGCACAACCCACCTTTGCTTCTGAATGATGAAACTAAAGTAGAACAAAGGAGTTACAGGTCCCCTGCTCGCTGGCATCCCTTATCTCTTCTAGATGAATCAAGAATAAAGTAGGTTTGTTGCTGTTGCTGTGATAAAATGCCCTGACAAGAAGCAATCAGGGAGAAGGGGGTTTATTTGGCTAACATTTCTAGGTTACGTTCCATTAATGAGGGCGAACTAAGGCAGAACTCCTTCAGCTAGTCACATCACATCCATAGTCAGAGAGAAACAATTGAGCCCATGCTGCCTGCTTGTTTGCTAGACACTCGGCTACCTTTCTTCTGTCTTATGTAATTCAAGACCCCTGCCTAAAGGAATTGTGCTGCCCACAGGCATCAGGGTCTTCCCATATCGATTATGACAATCCTCCACAGACATGCTCACAGACCAACCATATTCTAGACAATTCCTCAACAAGAACTCTCTTCTCTAGTGACTTTAAATTGCAGCAAGTTAGTTGGTATTTAAAACCATCAAGGATGTCTTATAAAGTGTTACCAGTTTTGTAAGTAAATAGAACCAAGAAACAGAAAGTGCTTATTTTATAATCTTATCAATTATCTTAGCTTCCCCTAGTCTAATAAAACTTGATAAAATTTTAAGACTAGGCCAGCAGTGGTAGAGCACACCTATAATCCCAGCACTCAGGAGTCAGAGGCAGGTGGCTCTTTAAGTTTGATACCAATCTGATCTACAGAATGAGTTCCAAGCCGGGCATTGATGGCCCATGACTTTAATCCCAGCACTTGGAAGCAGAGTCAGGTGGATCTCTGTGAGTTCGAGACCAGCCTGGTCTACAAGAGCTAATTCCAGGACAGCCTCCAAAGCCACAGAGAAACCCTGTCTCAGAAAAAAAAAATAGAATGAGTTCCAGGGCAGTCAGGGCTACACAGAGAAACTCTGTCTTGAAAATCCAAAAGTAAAAATAATTAAGACTAAAAGAGACTTCTTTTGTAGTTCTAATAGCTTAGAGCTAAGGGGCTATTTTAGTTCTAGACTGCATGCCTAGAAAGTACAAGGACCTACAGAACTAGATAAAACTATCCTAAGTGAGGTAACTCAAAACCAGAAAGACAAATATAGAATGTAATCACTCATAAGTGGATACCAGAAATAAAACAAAAGATACCCAGCCTACAATCCATTACCCTAGAGAAGCTTGAACCCTCTTCCAGAAACAGATGGAAGCAGATGCAGAAATTCACAACTAACCAATGAGCCAAGCTACTGGAGTACAATCAAAGTGAAGGAGGAGCAAAAATATGAACAAAGGAGTTAAGGCCATGATGGGGAAACCCACAGAATCAGCTGACCCAAGCTAGTGAGAGATCAGTGACTCTGGTCCAACAAATGGGGAATCTGCATAAGACTGAACTAGACTCCCTTCATAGAGGTGACAATGGTGTGACTAGGACAATATATAAGGCCACTGGAGAATGGAGTGGGGATTGGGTGGGGGGTTGGTGGGTGTGGGTGGAGGAGTGGGGAAGGAAGGGGGGAGAAGGAGCTAGGATTGACAGGTGAAGCAAGCTTGTTGCTAATTTAAATAAAAAATAAAATAAATTAATAAAAAAAACAAAAAAAAGAAAGAAAGTACAAGGTCCTGGGTTCAAACCTTAACATCACCCACACAAACAAGCAAAAGAAAACTCAGAAGTTGAGTGTGGAATCTTAAAAATAATGGACAAAGTCATGTTTTGATTATCATAGTTTTTTTAATTGATTACATAGACCATGAAGGTCAGCATCTGAATCTCTCTGTGAGCCTCTCTTTTCTCTGACCTATGAGCTAAACAGCTTCTGGGCAATGCATTAGAGTCTACCATTGCACCATTGCACACAGGCCACTTCATGTGACTTCCAAAAAGGACCACAGTGTCAGGAACAGCAGACAAGAGAGAGCCTGAGTCCACAAAAGCTCCCACCCCCTTTTGATTCCACTAACCTGGTGTCTGCCACAGTGGCCCGCACCACTGCCCAAGCCACAACAAACGCTGCTGGAAACCCTGTAACAAGAAAAGGATTTGGAATCCATACTTACTTTCAGATCAGATTTTGTTGTCTCGCCTATAATTAGCAGTTGAGGGGGAAAAATAGACATACAAAAAATATTGTTGTGATTAAGAGAAGTACACCTAATGCTATCTCATCCATTTGAGAAGTGAGTGACAGCATAAAGGGCAAATTGCACCTGGAAATCTGAAGATGATAGTATTTGGTCAAATTTTCACAGCAGGGATCAGGGAGAAACCACTGGAATTGGAGGGAACTGGAATTCCCAAAGTTGTAACCATGCAGAGGGTGGTACGCTCTGACCTTTGCCACACAAACACCTGCTTCTAAGAAGTGGAGCAATAAGTGTAGAGAAAAGCTGGAAGAAACCATGGGCTTAAAAACATTACACTGTTTGCATTCTAAAAGTGGAAGGCAAGGAGAAGCTACCAGCAGGTTTCAAAGTCAGGATGACATATCAGGTAACCTTCGTATCAGATATTTACATTACAACTTATAACAGTAGCAAATTTTCAGTTATGAAGTAGCAACAAAATAGCTTTGTGGTCGGAGGTCACCACAACATGAGGAACTGCATTAAAGGGTCACAGCACTAGGAAAATTGAGAACCACTGCCCTACCATCTCTTTCAAAGACTGGAGTTGCAAAGAGAGAGTCAGAAGATAAACTAGCTACAGAATTTATTGTTCATGGGATTGTGCTAACAAAATCAACCTAATGTTGGGTAAAAGATGCTCCATACCCATGTCTGTGAGTTCTATGTACTTCAGTGTGTGTTCTGAAACCCCCTCATGAAACAGAGATCACAAAGGACTGTGTTTACTTACTATTGCATCATCCCCAATGACAAAATCATCATCATGAGAAAATTAACCACAGTTGTGAAAGTTAGAAGCCTAATATGCATGGAAGTATACTAGAAACAAGTCACTTTTATCCTTTTTTCTTTCCTCCATTGGAAGACCTGAAAGCAGATCTCCAGGTTTCATTGTGACGAATTCCTGATTCTAATTGAGCAAAAAACAGACTGTGCTGAGTAGCAAGAGCCCAAATAGAACTGGTGAGAAGCCCGGAACCTCTTCATTATCGAGCCATATGAAATCAGAGAAAAAAAGAACAAATCATAATGCACACAATCAATGTATGTAGAAATTCATAAACAGAAAACAGCAAGCTGGGTTCACAGACAAAACTTTACCCATAAACGCCATTTCAAAATTGCAACAGCATTACAGCCAGTCAACATTTTGTCATCCTAAAGTGAGTTATCCATAAGTTCCCTTTTCCTTAGTTCACGTTTTCAGATTCTGTGACAATTTTAAGGCAAAATGGGCAAGGGAAAATGTTCCTGCATCATTGGGATGGGAAAAAACAAGTCTTCCAATTTAGTTCTGAGACATTAGTACCTTTCCCTATGCTGAGTGTTCATAATTTAAATGTTAAAGTAACAACTTAATTCTGTCTGCAACTGTTCAATCTCCGAGTACTTCTCTTCTAACTACCTTGGGCTTTCCTTTCCCTGAAACTTCAACAAGTACACGGTATCCTTTTCCCTGTCTTTTGTTGAGATCTTGCCTGATTTAGTAATTGCCTGGTACTACTGGTAAGTAGTTTGTGGAATGTGAGCATCCTGTTTTTAAATTTACTCTACTGAAAGTAATTTGGATAGTCACCTGCCAAGAATGGTAAGGCTTCGGAACTCGTTGTAACTTTATGTGTTAAATGCAGTCAAAATAGTACTACAAATGCTTCTGTGACATTTTCATTATTTGACCTGGAAGCACAAATCAGAGATACGCTGTTGTAGCTTATAAATTCAACCTTCAAAACTGTTAGGAAGAAATCATGGACAGAGCAGACGCAGCACAAGGCATGGGGCCTGGGAGGTTTGAACAAGTACAGCTAACAATGTGCTCTTTCCAGCTTCCTCCAGAGTTCTAGTGAGAATTTGGCCTAGGAACACTAACCACAATTTAAGTTTGAGAAGGTTGTTAAATGCATTTCATTAACAGGACAGTGAAACAAAAGAAAAGCAATAAGGTAAAATGGACAGGATCATTATAGGGAAATAACTGCAAGAAGGCTGGTGATGGACAGACACAATACACTCATTTTCATAACCAGTCAGAGGAAAGGTGACGTGAGTGCTTACCCCAGCCTATAAAGATGAAGCCCCACAGGTATTTGGTGTCCGAAAAGAATGACACAAAGATTAAGTTATGCAGGTAGAGCCCTTCCACCAGGATCCAATAATAGTTGGTAGCCAAGAAATAAATAAACATCACAACAGCGATCTTGCACCCGACCTGTTACAAATGAACCAGAATTGCATTGAATTAGGACATTTCATTACACTGAATGCCACCCTGAGACCACCAAAAAAATTCCTCTATTTACCTTCTGATAATCAAAAATGTCTTAATTCATGAGACTCCTAAGAACATTGGAGAGACCAGAATCAAGCTGTTGTAGCACAGGACTCTACAAACTACAGACTTGATTCTGTTTGTAAAGTAAGGTATTTTTTTCCTTTTAGTAGTTACCAAATTTCACAAATCTTTGTTTTTATAAAATATAACACATGATCATCAGGAAAAAATAGGATAAAAAAGTGAGGGAAAATATTAGTATTAGTCATGTTTCCATGATGAATTTGATTCATTCCAGGCTTTTCATGTGACTACTACAGCAAAATAAATTGCATCAAACGTTAATGACTGAAAAGAGTAAGTGTTTCCATCTGAGGGATGACAGAAGGGCTCATCGTTCACCCTCGCCAGACTTGATAAGCAGGGTCTACTTTATCCAGTTCACTGTCACTTTATTCCACAACTAAGGAAAAAAAACAATAGGCCAGGACAGGATCACACAACAGGACCACAAAGTCAAAGGGAAACAGAGATACAGATGGCCATTCACTGGGGCTGTGGAGAAATATCAATCGACTATAATTAAGTGCCAGGGGCCAACTTAGGCCAACCTAAGTTGATCATCTCCCATGATCAAATTTACTGAACTGTGTGTGACGCTAAACTAAGACTGGAACATTTAGAGAAAAGCCTCATGCCTTGGATTTTATGTTGGGACAAGACTTCAAGGGTACACATGACAGCCACTGTGATCCATACATCAAAATTCCATTGCAATCATAGCGCAGATGTTCTTGATCCAAATGAGCAATTAGACTGAGAAGACAGACAGACAGGTGACCAAAAGAAATCCCAGTGCAAGTTAATAAATGTTCAGTGAAATATGAAATGGAACTTACTTATAAAAAATCTGTAGTGAGAAAAAATGAAAACACGTACATACTGAGATTTGTCCACAGATGGTCCTCCAATGAAGTTCTGAAGGTCACCCTGCATCACCAGAGACTGCAGAGCCTCTGTTCCTAGGTGAGCCTGGGCCACTCTGTCCTTGACAAAGATGCTCACAGCTCTCAGCATGAAGGACACAAACAAGTGCAAGTGGATATAGTTTCTAGTGCAGTGCAATCGTCTATGCAGAGAAAACGTTTGTTATTTAGATTGGAGAAAATGATAACAGAGGAAGAAAGTACATCTGACAGGCACAAACACATGCCCCCCCCTTAAGGAAAATATGGTAAACTCAAAAGTGACAAGTCATTATTATTTTTCGTACAGAAACTACTTGAGTCTAAAATTAAAATATAACTTTATATGTATTCATTTTAAATATATTCTGACCTACCATCATTGGGATCCAGTTTTTGCTTTCTTAACTATTGTACTATGATATACTGCAATGTCGATGCAATGTTCTCTCTCTCTCTCCCTCCCTCCCTCCCTCCCTCCCTCCCTCCCTCCCTCCCTCCCTCCCTCCCTCTCTCTCTCTCTCTCTCTCTCTCTCTCTCTCTCTCTCTCTCTCTCTCTCTCTTTCCCCCCTTCTCTTGGATTCCATCAGTAGGAGACTGTTACATATTCACTAAATAAATTGGGAGTTCAGAAAATAAATTCTGAGTTCTCAGATAACAAGATTTCTTGACTCACACATGGGTTTGATTACTCCTACCCTGTGTGTTCTTGGCTTACATCCTATATTTATGTATCCCTTGAAATCTCAGTCAGAGACCTTCCTTCTCCCTTTTCTACCCTCCAAAACCATTACATACTGGTTGGCATTGTGCAAATCACTGTGTCATCCATCAAGGCAAAGTGAGCCCCGTTTCCCCCTTCTTTTATCAATTCCTGAACTCACTACTGTGTGTATGGTAGTATAACCATCCTATACATGTTGTTCTCTGGTGTAGTTCAGCTTTGTTGGTTACAATTCCGTGTCAATTTAAATTATATAGAATTTTGTGTTTTATGTGCTTATATCAAAGAATTTTGAACATACTTTTGTCCAATAGTACCAAAATAATTTGAGAAAAAAATGAGTTACTCCTTGATGAATGAAAATTTTCATTAAATTGTGTACAGTACCAACCACTTTGCAAAAAAATAGAGATTTATTAGCCTAAAGGCTTCACATACTTGATGCTTTCAGTTTTTAGAAAACATGAGAATGAATTGTCAAAGACAGTTAACAATATGTTTCTTTAAGAATCTTGTATTAGCTAGAAAGAGGAATTGGAATGGGAAGCTCAGTTGGTAGAGTACTTGCGTTGCATTCATGAAGCCCTAGATCCAATCCCTAGGACCATATAAATCAGGTATGGTATTTAGACTGCTATCCCAGAACTGTGTAAGCAGAGGCAAGGGGACCAGGACCAGATAGATCATCATTAGTGTGGTGGTTAGAAAGAAAATGGCCCCCAAAGGAAGTGGCACTAGAGGTGTGGTCCTGTTGAAGGAAGTGTGTCACCGTGGGGGCCGGCTTTGAGGTCTCTTTTAATCAAACTTCCTTCAGTATGACTTTCAGTTGACTTCCTGATGCCTGCAAGATATAATACTCTCAGCTCCAGCACCACATCTGCCTGCCATGCTCTGCGCCATGATGATAACAGACTGAACATCTGAAACCATAAACTACCCATCCCAATTAATTTTTGTCATAGTCACGGTGTCTCTTCTCAGCAATAAAAATCCTAATTAAGACAACTAGCCATACAGCGAATCTGAGGCCAGTCTGGACTACATGAGACCCTTATCTCAAAAAATAAATTTCATTAGGAAAAGGTTAGAGAACACAGATTGTGTGCATTGGATGTCTTCTACAGATAAGGCATTAGAACATTCCTTCTAGGAGAAAACTAAATGGGAACTATTCACCTGAAGTAGCCAATGATGAGAATGGCCACAGCCAAGGAGCCAAAAGAGATGGAGTAGCCAACAGTGTACAGGACGTAGAGACTTTCAAAGAACTCTTGCTGTAAGGGGAAAGACAGTCAACATATGTAAAAGAAAATGTTTCAAAACAATTACATCACTTTTGGAATATAGTGTCTGATTCTCTCTAACTGTTATGGGCTGTAATTTACATGCTATGAAATGGACAAGTCTAAGACACGTTGCTTAACAGTTTTTGACATACCAAGTTTCATTTGTACCTCTTTACTAGTAAAATGCTCACCCACTGTCCACTCACACACAACCTCTATTCCAATTTTTGTCACCACAAATTAGCTTTCTCTGTTCACACACTTCATATTCTTCCAGACTGTTCTTAGACTTAAAAATTATAAAATGTATGTTTTTAGAACAAACAGCTTTTGATAATCTTCAGTACTGTTACATGTATTTATACTTCATTTCCTGTTAAATTTTTTATTTAAAATGATAGAATCACAGAATATGGGAAAAATAATAAGTGGTGTTTCATGTACCCTCCATCCATTGTCTTCTAATGGTTATATCTAATATAATTATGCTCAGATATACAAACCAAGAATTCAACACTGTTGCAATGTACTGATAGCTATTTTTGTGTAATTGCATCACACATGAAATTTTTTTATGACTACCACTGAAATCAAAGCACAGAAGTCATCCACCAGTGCAAAGATCTGCTATACTGTTCATGTGTGGTCATGTTTACCCCTCTTCTTCCCCAGCATCCAACACATGGAAACTTTGAATTTGTTTTCCATAACATGATTTTCTTTTCATGGTGGTATGTAAACCAACTGAGACATTAAAGGACTTACTGAAGAGTCCTTGAGATTCATTCAAGTTGTCACATTCATTACTAATTTGTTTTTTTCTTAATTGCTGAGTAGTATACATGGTATTTTCATATCATACATATATACATTATTATATTTGAGTGAGTTCTTTATCAATAGTATATAGTTGGATCATATTTTAACAGAACCAATCAGTTGATTTGTGTATTGAGAGTAAATTTTATACAGTATAATTTTTTCTATTGTTATTTTTTCATTTTAAAAACTTTCTAACTTGTGTGTTGTTTGAACATCTTTAGAATTCTACTTTATTATTTTGTATATTATTTTCATTGTTTTAGGTATCACGTTAACCCACTGAAGCTATACTCCTGCATGGAATAACCTCAGATTTTCAATTATCTAATTTTCTAATTAAGCCATCAACATTATAACATTCTTTCTAGGTTCATACTTATCATTTCACATAATTTGTGGTACTTCAGACTTTTATTTATTTAGTTTGAACTTTGCCCTGAATCATGTAATTTTCCACTGTTTGTAAATTGTTTATGTACTTATTATTTTAATTTTTAATTAATCATTTTATAGTCAGAGACCATATTTAGACTCTCAGTAAAGGCACTTATGGAGAGTTATTTTTAGGCTTGTGTGAATTCTATCCTGATGAAACTTTAGTGTGTGCGCTAAAAGATGTGGCTTTTGAAATATTGAGTATTCTATAAATGTCAATTTAACCCAATGTTTGAAAGATAGCCTATAGAAAATGTATTATCTGTTGCTTGAGAAAGGTATTTTTAAAATCCAGCTTGGTGGGAAGTGGGTATCTCTCATATTAGCTCTGACAGCTTTTGTTTCCTGGCAACTCTGAAGATGTTCTATAGTTTGACAATCAAATAATGCTACAAGGAACGTGGGTAAGCAAATGTCTCTCCAATATTCGGATTGTATTTCCTTTGGATATGAACCCAGGAGTGAAACTTCTGCATAAGATGACATTCAATTTTTGATATTTTAAAGAACCACCATATTTGTTTCCACAATGGCTATATTGATTTGCATTCCCATCAGTAAACAGCGTGCAAGTTTCCCTTTTCTTAAGCTCCTGCTATTTTTCTTTTTGTCTTTTTGGGAATGATTGTTCTAATAGATACAGGATATCTATTGTAGCTTTAATTTGCATTTTCTTGTGATTGATCATGTACATTTTATGATTAGTAAGGTTGGCCATGCTTTCTTATGTCTGTTAGCTGTTTGCTTGTTGTGTGGGGGTTTTTCGGGGTTTTTGTTTTGTTTTTTGTTTGTTTGTTTGAAAATGTCTGTTTCCATCCTTTGCCTGCGAAACAATTGCTCTATTTCTTATACTGAGTTGTCCTTATTCCTTACACATTTTGATATATCCTTTGGTGGGGGGGAGGGGTAGGGAGGGATCCTTACTACATATACCAGGGTGACTTTAAACTCACAATCCTCCTAGCCTTACCAGCCACATGATGGAATTATAGGTCTGCTGTACCATGTCTGGATGAATACATTCTGTTATGGTTTGTCAGAGCCCACAAGTGACTCAGTTTCCATCAGGAGTCTATTCTGACTTATAAAACATTGGAGTTCAAGCTTGCTTGTTTCAGTCTCCTTGAGAGCCATAAGAAACTTCTGATTAATCCAATGGAAAAGAGCATATTATCTAATTAACAAGCTTCTGATGCCATCTGTAGGCACATAGAGATAGGGGATGAAGGTTCTTGCTGCTAGCAGCATTCACATGATAGATAGAGAACCTGGCTACTCCTCGATTCAAGGACAGTGCAGGGAGCTCGTTAATTGACTAGGCTGCTCTTTGTGCTGCTTTGCTTCTAGTCTGTGCATAAACAGGGTCTAAATTAGACTTGGAGTTGTCTGGTGTGCTGAAAGGCATGGACTTGGCAGTTCTCTAGAATCTATTGTTTCTGTCTCTTTTCTCAATCCTCATGCCCCTACTCAGGTAACCCAGCTGACTCATTGGAACAGTCTTCCTACAATAGTGTATGCCCTCCTGCTCTATAAGTTGTCTCTTTGTTCTGTTGGTTATTTCCCCGGATGAGTGGATCTCTTTTGTTTGTATTGTTGTTGTCTACCTTTGTTTTTAGAGGCCACATCCAAAAACTAGATGAATCTGATAAAGTTTTTCCCCTTTGTGTTCTCTTCTACTAGCTTTACAATTTCAGAAGTTACACAGACGTCATTAGTCCATTTGACTTTATTTTTGTACATTAGATAAGAGTCCTAGTATTCTTCAGCATGGTGATACACAGCAATCCCAACATCATTTATTGAAAAAGCTGACTTTTTTCCATTGTGTGTTTTTAGGTACCTTTCTCAAAACTTAGTTGGCCATGAATATGTAAATTTACTTCTAACTTGCTGTTCTATTCTGTAGGTCTGTTTTTATGCCAATATCATGTAGCCATGGTTATTAAGTTTTGTGATACATTTTGAAGTTATATAATATGAATATTCTAGCTTTGTCATCACTCAAAATAGTTTTGGCTGTTTGTGTCCTTTTATGAGTCTATACAAATTTTAGAATAGTTTCATCTATTTCTGTGAAAAAATTTCACTAAATTTCTTACAGGAACTAGATTGAAGTTGTAAATCAATTTGATTATTATGGGCATTTTAATATTAATTCACCTAATCCATGAATATTGGCTACCTTTATACTTATTTGTAGCGTCAATTTCTTCCATCGGTATTTTATAGTTTCAGTGTATAGGTCTTAAAGCCCCTTGAGTAATTTATTTCTAATTATTTCGTGTCATTTGGCAAATGGAAATGACATTATTTTCTTGGTGGTTGGGGAACAGTTAGTGCAAATATTTTGTTAAGCCAGAAATATCACAGAATTCATTCATTAGCTCTAGTAATTTTTCAGTGCACTCTGGAGTTTTCTGTAAGATTATATCATCTGCAATTACAAGCAATCTTATTTCTTTCCCAATGCATATGCCTTTTATTATTTGTTTTTCTTTTGCTCTGCTAGAATGCCCAGAGTTAAAATAAATGGAAGACACAAGAGACCACCCTTGAATCCTTTCTGCATCCCAGGAACTTTTTCTCCACCTGCTGATTGCAACACTCTTCACTTGAAAACCGTTCTCAGCTGCTTTTTCGGGCTGCAGCCTTGTGCTCAAGCCTTGCGTGGCTGGAAGGTGTTTGTTCCTGTGACTTTCCTGATCCACATACTCAATGAGAGTTTTATGTGTGTCAAGGTGTTTTTCTCATTTCCTGTGCTCTGCCCCCAAGACTTCAGATAACTTACATTTTTTTATTTAAACTTTTTTTAAAAATTCTTATTTTCCACGCTGATCCCAGTTCCCTCTCCCTCACATTCTCCCACTCCCCCCCTCCCCGCAACATCTCTCCATCCCATCCCCCATTCACTCCTCAGAGAGGGTGAGGCCTCCTATGGGGGATCATCAAAGTCTGTTACATCATATGTGGCAGGACCAAGGCCCTCCCTCTGAATCTAGGCTGAACAAGGTATCCCTCCATAGGGAATGGGTTCCAAAAAGCTAGTTCATGAACTAGGGATAAATATTGGTTCTACTGCCAGCAGCCCCATAGACTGCCCAAGCCTCCCCCCCCGCAACTGACACCCATATTCAGGGGCTTACTTAGGTCTTATGCAGGTTCCCTAGATCCAAACTTATTTATCTATATCAGTCTTATGTGTATCTTGAGGGATTTCTCACCATACCCTTCATGACCCAGCCCATGGCATACTACGATACTGCGCATAGTAAACATCCCAACGAGTGTCACTGTCTCTAGGGTTTAATATTATGTGACTAAGTCCTTATGCTAGCTCTTGTTTGTTAAAAGTCGGGTGGAATGCTTTTGTTTTGTTTTCCAAGACTGGTTTTGACTGTGTAGCTCTGGCTGTCCTGGAACTAGTTCTGTAGACCAGGCTGATCTTAAACTCACAGATATCTGCCAGTCTCTGTCTCCCAAGTGATGGAATTAAAGGTGTGTGCCACCACTACCAGGCTTGTTTTAAAGCTTTTATCCTTCCTACTTTATTTTATCCCCTTCTGTGACATGCTTGCTCCCTTCTGCTGCAGACCCACAGATAAATGTTCCCACGGGCCACTTCTTGCTCTTAAAGAAAAAGCTTACCCATTGCTAATACTGATCAACTTCTCAAACTATTGATTTGGAATACAGTTTAAATTATTCATAATATACACTGTAGCAATCCATTGTTTCATAAAGGTTTTTTTATTCAACTTCCCTATTCCAAATCTTTATAATCAATCTTGAAAGTAAACTTAAGATCTATAAGAGTATGGCCTATTGAGATTTTGGTTTTCTCTATTTTTTAAATTTTAATTAAAATATAGTATCATCACTTACCCTCTTCCTTTCCTGCTGCATATCCCTCCTACTTTGCCCTCAAATTCATGGACTACTGTCCTTTAACCATTGTTGTTACATTTGCACATACGTGAATAAACATACAAATACAACCTACTGAGTCCCTTCAGTGTTGTTGCCTGCATGTACATGGTTCTAGAGCTGACCATTTGAAATTGGATTACTAATTGGGGGAGGGGACTCATCCATGAGGGAGACTAATCCTACCTCTCTAGACAGTCATTAATTGCTGGAGCTCTTCATCTAAGAGTGGGTCCCCAGGAGATTTCCCTGATCTACAGTAACATGTCAACTGGCATTAGAATTGTTCAGGTCTTGTTCAGGCAACCATGTTGTCACCAAGTAATACAGCTACAATGTGACTCCTACACCTAAAATTTGAGAAACATGGAGGAAGAGGGGGCAGAAAGATTTTAAGAGCCAGGAGACCAGGAAGTCTACTATGAGACTGTACCTTCTAGTTATAACAGAACTACACTCAAGAAAGTCCTTTGAGATGTTTCATAGAAATTGCTAATTGTATTCTAAGTTGCATATATCTATTAGACAAGAGAAAGCTTATGTGTTATTTTCTATAAGATGCTACTGTTTAACATACCAGGCTCTAATAGGGTTAGCTCGCCCACTTGTGTATGGATATCAGAGGTCAGTGTTGGGGGTCTTCTTGCATCCTCCATGTTTTCAAGCAATTAACTTGAATTATTCTTTTGTTAATTAAATTTGTTCTTTGCCAATTTCGTGTGTGTAAATTTTTGGAGACAATGTCTCCCTGAACCCAGAGCTCACCATTTTGGCTACACTGCTTTGACCAGCAAGCACTTGGGTTATAGACACATCTTGCTGTCCCCAGCTTTTCCATGGGTGCTAGAAATCCAAAGTATATCTTCATGAACTAAGCAGTTTATCCCCTGAGCCTTCTCCCTAGCCCAGTCCTCTGCATCTTTTTTATATTAAGGAAATAAAACTGTTTAATAATCACAAGATTCCTTACCTCTTAGTAAGCTTTCAAATAATTTTCATATGAAATAATAGATGGATTACTATCATGTAATAGTATATGTAATAATAGATATCATTAGATAATAATATACTATTATGTATAATAGTATATAATTGTGTGTGTGTGTGTGTGTGTGTGTGTAAGAGCCAGAACCCAGAAGTCCACATAAATGCCAGTAGACAAAGGGGCAGCCCATAATTCTAGCCTCAGAAATCAAGGAATTCCCAGAGTAAATTGTCTAGTGGGACTCATAAAATGGTGAGCTCTTGGTTTGACTGAGAGACCTGGCCTCAATGAACAAAATGGATGAGTGACTGGGAATGTACCTCAACACCAACCTCAGGACTCCATATACATACTCACACAAGTGGACACATGCATGCACACATACATTAAAATGGGGGAAAAGAAATAGTATTTATCCTGAGTTTATTAGCCATCCTTCACTATTATGCTTCTTAAAATGCACTATAATCACAATGAATGGTTGAAAGATTAGAGTTCTGTATAAATGAAGCCATGGAAATAAATGGGCATATAAAAACTGTGAAGATGTGCATTTGTCATTCTTTATGCACAAGAAAAGATCACCATCAAGCATACCACTTATCAGTGAATGTTAACTTTTTTATTTTTTTATACTCACATTTTATTGGCATTTTAAAAGCACCTTTAGCTATCAGTGATTTTTTTCTGTCAATGACTGAAATGATTTTGTAGCTTCTCATTGTAATTACCTCAGTGTTTGAATGAGTTGCCTTGTAGAGTATATAGCAATTTCACATTGTCTGTTTAAGAAGTCTCAACCTGGAAGTACAAAACTAAAGGTTGAAAATTACCAAAGAACTCACTGCAGTGGTGAATCTTGGTCATAAAAAAAGAACAAAGGAAGTTCTATTTGCACAGAATGAACAAAGAAAACTTCATTTCAAACACTTCCTGAATCAGGGTTTCTATGGCTCTGAAGAGACACCATGTCCATGGCAACTCTTATAAAGGAAAACATTTAATTGGGGCTGGCTTATACTTCAGAGGTTTAGTCCATTATTATCGCCTCAGGAAGCAAGGCAGCATGCAGGCAGACATGGAGCTTGAGCATAGAATCTTTACATCTTGATCCAAAGGCAGCAGGAAGTGAACTGTCTCACTGGATGTTGTTTGAGCATATATGAGTCCTCAAAGTCTGCCTTCACAGTGACACATTTCCTCCAGCAAAGCCACACCTCCTAATAGTGCCACTCCCATCGGGAACAATTGTCTTTCAAACCACCACACTTGCTGCTACAGTTCTCCCTTCAAACAAAGCTACTATAAGATAGCCTGTTCTATGATCCTCATAAAAGTTCTTGTACATCAACTTACTACACTCAACCTCAGTTTCATGGTCATATGTCATCACACACTTTTGCTCAACATGTCTATATGACTGGAAATTTAACTATGACTTTTAAACCACTATATATAAATATTTCACATTTACATATAGCTTTGCAACACCAAACCACTCTAATAGGAAAGCACTCAACACTGCCATCAGCAAAGTGTCTCCTGGGTCCACCGTGTTTCCCTGGTTCACAGTTGACTCATATCTGTGAAATGAAGGTAGTGTACTAGAAGACCTATAAGTTGAACCTTGCTCAGTATAATGCTAAAACTCTGATTCGTCGCTTAAAATGAAATCATCAATTGCAATATTCTGAGTTGGAACACACTAAATGTGTCATTCACTTAATGAAAACATCCTTCAGTAACATAGTGGGATGAGATTTGGCATTCATAAGTAATTAAGAGTGAATCATGAATCATGTTGCATGTTGCTCACTACCTATTTGTATACTATAACTTAATATAGAATAATATGGCAATGTAATATAATAAACAGTGTGTGTGTGTGTAACAAGGGAAACAGGAAAAAGGTTCAGTTGCATCTGAAAGGATCCTTCCAATATTTTTATCTTTCATAATCTGTGTCATTGAATAAAAAGGGTTTTGTTATAATGGCTGACAAGCAAATTGTGTAAAACATTGTTCTGCTTTTCCTTAGGGACTCACAAATATAGAAATGTCATTACCTTTCCTATGCTGATGTCTGGCTGCAGAAAACAGTCTGAATAATTAGCCCATGTTTTGTTTGAGCTTTGAATAAAGTCCCATGTTCCATTGGGGGTACAGTGCCGAAAAGCAACTCCTGGAAAGACATGAAACATGCTGAGATTACACAGTTCCCTGCAAGTCTGTTACTAAACATCAATGAAAAGAGTAAATGTCTGGTTGCAATCAATCATCTCGGAAAAGTTCAATACCTTTATGATTGAAGTCATAAATATAAGGAGGGCATGGCACAGCTGACATTTTCCCCACTGTTCCTCTAGGCCAACAGATAAGTCCATCCCATTCTGGGAGACAATTGCCTTCTGATGAGAAATGGAAATAAAGAAAGACAAGAAAACAATATTGAACAAATGCTTTCAATGCAGAAAACTTCAGCTCAGTCCCTGTGGTAAAATGTAAACCAAACCGGTAAGTTTGGAAGCTAAAGCAGAGGAGAAGAGATGAGATGCAAATGCCCCCAAATGTCTCATCATGGACACATTACTAGGAGGCTTTGATTGTCTAAATTAAAGTATCTAAATAATTCTAGTATATTCGCTGTGAAAGCAACAACAACCTCTAAGTCCATCAAACCTCTAGCTAGAGTTACTGGATGAATTTTCAGCAGGTCATGCTTACTGAATATTCCCCCCATTTTTCTCTTCCTCCTCCTCTTTCTCCTCTTCTTCCTTCTCCTCTTTCTCTCTGCACCCCTAAGCCCCTCTCCAGGACAGTTTTCTACGGCTCTTCCTACCAGTGTGCTTGTACTTCTCATGATTAGCTATGGAAAGTAATGGAACATGTTAGGATAGGGAGGAAGTCTAGCTAGAGTAGAGCATGCTGTGTTCATGTCCTTCTCAGACACAGGAAGTTCCTGCAGCATAGTGTGTGTTCCCTGTGTTGTATGCCCCACGGTGGGAAGATTTCTAGGGTCATTCAACCATCTGGAAAATAGTAGATGTGCAGTAGAGAGCTCATATATTGCTGAACGTTCCCAAGTCTAAGCCACAAGCCACAGGCTCATGATGAATCCTTGGTTTCTCTTGTCCTTGCTACTTGTTTAGCAAGTAAAGCCACTTTCTGCTACCTGTTGTGTCTGGGTGTTCCCTTACCCAATTCCAACACCAGTGACACACTCACTTTACTCTTGTCACTTTAGCTCCCAAAACCTCCCAAAGTCTCTTGCCCCTACCTCATTCTGAGCCACAATCTACTTCCTCGTCAGCTCTGAAGACCCTAAGGATACGTCATAACTTAGCTGCCTCTTGCTAGATTTCAACCTTGTTCCTCCTGTCACCCCAGGACTCATACCCTTATCTCCTCCAGACTTTTTCTCAAATGTCAACTTCTGAGTAAACATTCCCAATCTAACACTGCATCCCAGTTCACCCCATCCTCTTCCCCTACTGTCATTCTCCACAGGTCTCATCCCCTCCCAGTGGAGTCCTTTTTTCTATTTTTTCTTAAGTTACAGAGACCCAGGTGGAGTTCTTTTGTCTGTTTTGTCTCATGCATTAGTCCTGCTCCAGGCACAGCCCCTGATACTTAGTGGAGTTTAGAAAATGTTCACTGTCAAGGCTGTGCTCCTCAGGGCTCCTTTCCTTTGGTCATATACTGAACTGCCAAGAAGAAAGCTCATCAGCTACATCACACCCCCATTTCCCCCAACAGACACCTGTCATGAGTGCTGTATTCATTCTCTATGACAAATTTCAGTTTTAAACAAGGTCAGAACTCTGGCTCAGTAAGGCCTTTGCTTATGAACACACAAAGCCAAACCAAGGGCTGACAGGACCGTGTTCCCTTCTGAAGACTCTGAAGGTACACATATCTTTCCCTGCTTAATTCAGTAGTTGGAAGAGTTCAGTTCCTCCACTGTGAAACTGGTTTCTTTCTGGCTATTAGCAGTGCTCTTGCCCAACTTCTGAAAACAGTTCATGTAATTGGCTCCTGGTTGCCTTCTTCCATCTTCACGATCAGCAGCACAGACTGGATCCTTCTTGCATTCTAATTCCCTCTCTGCTCTCTTTTGTTTACAACTCAACTCATCCTGCCACCTTCCTCCTCCATTTTTCAAGGCCTAGATGATGATAGTGTGTAAACACAGATAAGCCAGAATAACTTCCACATTTTAATGTACGTAAGCCTAAATCCATCTATAAAGTCTCCTTTTGCTATGTAGCATAGCATACATGGGCATAACACTGGGTACCAGCAGTAGATATCTTTGGAGGCTTATTATTTTACTATCACAAGTACTAGCTAACACTCATTGTGTCAAATCGTTTAGTTTGAAAGTCAGCCCAATAGAACTCCATAGAAACACTTATAATAATTCAGAGCCAACCTGGAATTAACTTCTCAGTGTCCCTTTGTCGCACAGAAATAAACACTTGATCTGTTTTGTGTCTTGCTGAAGGGAATAAGAAAAGAAAAAAAAGAAGTCTTCATTCACCCACACTGTTCTCACAGAAGAGAACATTTTCCTGGAAACAGCCTCGCTCCCCTCACGCAATTTCACAGCCGGACTTCACACACCTCAGGCAACCCAGGGGTTCATCCCACTGCCTCTTGCTTCAGATGTACCGCTGCATCTGCCTCTCTTCCTACAGCATCTGCCTTTGCTGTTGCTATTGACTGGATGTGGTGGTCCTTTACTCTTCTTATTGTGCACCATGGTTAACCATATCACCTCCTGCCCATTTACATTGTGGTTAGTAAGTCATGTGCCTTCTCATATCTGGACTATTGCTAAAGTTTGGGTCTTAAATGCTCCACAAGGCACCATGTGTTAAAAGCTTAGTCACAGCTTGTACTACTGGGAGGTGGAAGGAAATTTAATGTGTGAGGGCCAGTAGTGCATCTTCTGATGATTGGGAATGGTCCCTGGAAGGACCAGGGCTCCTTCCTTCCTCTTTCCAGTTGAATAGCATTGCTGTATAATGTGTTTTTGCCATGTTATCCCACCGTTGGCCAGAAGTTACAGAAGTAACCAGCCATGGAATAAAACCAAAAGTGTGAGCCAGAATGAACCTTTTTCTGTATAAGCTTACTTGTACCAGTCATTTCTTATTATTTCAGAAGGCTAACACTACTGTCCAATCAATATGTACCCAATACATACTTCACAAGCAACACAGACTGGCCCTGGAAGCATGGTCTTGTTTTCCCATCTGGAAAAAAAATGCTACAATGCCACGTGCTATGTGTGGGAGCTAGTCACACAATGAATTTCTAAAGTCTATGGGTCAGTACGTCATACAGTCACTCAGTATTAAAATGCCTGTGAAAAGGAGTTTCCTTCGGTTGTGAGACAGTTTTCTGGTTTCTACAAGAAACCAGTGAATGAACACAGCCACGGACTTCACCCCTAAATCCAGAACATTACCAGCCTTCAAAACTATGTTTTTATATATAGTTTTATAGTTTTATGCTGGCTCTTTGATAATAAGAATGATAAATATTCACAAAAGATTGTAAAGACTGGGGAAGCCTGGACCTCAAAGATACAAATGTGGAGCTTTTAACATCTCCTTGTTGGCCATCAGGTGAGAAATACTTCCAGTTTGGGGACAAAACTGATTGCTAATGACTCATCGCTCTTCCTTTTTATAAATTAACACCACTAAGGATAACTCTGGATCCTGTCTATATCCCAAGAAAATCCCTATTTACAAAGACTGGTCTGAAATTTAGCAAATCCAATTTTTATTCTTTTAGCTCTTGAGTTACTCACAACAAAATCAGATACTTGGAAGGAGAACCAGAAGGAATGAAACCTTCATTTTTTGTTGTTTTTAAGTCTTCAATAATTTTATGACTAGGTGTTTGTATTTACAGCTTTCCTTTGATAGACATTTGGAAGTTTTCACGCTCTTATTATAATTTTTAAATGTTTAGTTATTTAATTTTGTGCGTCTGTCTGTCCGTCTATCAGTGTATATGAATTTGTATGACATGTATGCAGTGCCTGAGGAGGTAAGAAGAGGCATCACCTTGACATGTGCTTGCTGAGAATAGAACTCAAGTCCTCTGCAAGAGCAGCCAGTGGTCCTAACCACTGAGCCATCTCACCAGTCCCAAATTTTTTCAGAAATAAAAAACAATACTATGCTTGATAGTTGTTGGTGTTTTATAATACTTATTTCAGTTAACATATTTTTGCTACAGTTTTGCAATGGTCGTGTGCATTCTAACAGCCCTTTCTAAATATTTTTATATCTGCCTTTCAACTTTAAGACCATTTAAAATGAAAATTTCTTAAGTTAACTAGTAAATTCAAAATGTCAGTCGAGTTTTAACAACTTTGAAGTGCAGAATGCTTTACTCAATTTACATATAATTAAACATTTTCTAAAGCCAAAGTTTGACCACATTTAATTCTATATTATCTCTGTATGAAGACCTTAAAGCAAGAGTCCTCTTTTTCACTATTTATTCATGCACATATGCGCATATTCACAAATGTCAGTACATCCAAATAATTTATTCTTCTTCAAATGGAGTGCTGATCTATACTGGTATGTGAACCCTGGTCTTCTAGAAGAGCAGTCAATGTTCTCTACCACTGAGACATCTCTCCAGTACCAAGATTAAGCTATTTAATACACAAAGATTATCAGAATAACTAAGCACAAGAATCACGTGTGAACAATTTAAATAAAGTGTTCCTAGCTGAATGTAGTGGCACATATCTTTAATCCCAGCATTTGGGAGATAGGGGGGCATGGCACAGAGGGAGGTAGATCTCTGTAAACTTGAGGCCCACATGTTCTACTGACTGACTCCTCACTCAAAGCAAAACAAAACAACAACAAAAAAAGATATTCCTAAAATTTAAGTATATGGAAAGTTTAACAAAATACTGGGAAAATATAAGTGCTTATATATTAATTATTACAAATTTTCAAGATCAAAAATTTCTGGAGATTGGGTACATAATAATTTGAATACACTTAATACTTGAGCAGTATACTTGGGTGTTGATAAAATGGTAACTTCAAAATTGTGTACATTATATTACACTTAAAACATTTTTAAAGGATTGGAAAAGTTACACTTAACTAACACAGCGAGAATTAAATTCATGTTGATTAATTAAATTTTTATTGTGATCATTTAAGTATATACAATTTTAATATTCCAGTCAAAAGTATCTCTAGAGTTATAGAAGTCTTCTTTTTATTGGCAAAATATTTAATCACTGGAAAATAAATTACTAAATTTGCATTTGTTGAATAACAGTTTCAAAGCATATGAAGTAAAAAATGTCCAACAAACCTTTCAATGAAAAATTCACCAGCATGCTATTATAAAAACATGTGTCTTGAGAAATAATAAGTCAAGTGATCATCTGAATACAGAATATATGAACAGCATAACTGAGGAGCTTAACCCAGCAGATTCTTTGTTTTTTTTAAGATTTTATTTATTTATTATGAATACAACATCCTGCCTCTACGTATATCTGCATGCCAGGAGAGGGCACCAGATCTCATTACAGAGAGTTGTGAGCCACCATGTGGTTGCTGGGAATTGAACTCAGGACCTCTGGAAGAGCAGTCAGTGCTCTTAACCTCTGAGCCATCTCTCCAGCTCAAACCCAACAGATTCTATAAAACACTGTAGTAAAAACTGGAGCACATGCATTCCTTTGAAAACCACATACATCATTCACCAAGAGTGGCTAGAGTAGAAGCCACTAAGTCTCAGAATACTTTGATAAGTCACCATTGTGCAAACTACATTCTCTGATCATAACAAATGGAAAAACAGTCATAATTGTTGAACATTTCAAATCAGTATAGGCAGATACTCATCTGCATACTATAGGAAGTATAACTTTAAGGACAATGCTTCATCCAATTAGTTGGGATTTAGGGGGCTCAATAAATCAACCTCTACTTCTGACCTGAAGTTAGAAATAAGAGATGACTCAAAAACTCAGGAAATAATCATTTCCTGTACATTAAATTATCATCTTATTTTAAAAGTTTTCTATAGACCATTGCTTAGGTAGTCGTCTGAACTGAGATCACAATCTGAGACTGTAGGCAATATTCACAGGGACAGAGTCTACCACCCTCTGAGCTTACTGCATAGTCAAAGGCAAGCCAACACACAGGCTCCTCACAGCAGGCAAATCCAAAGAGAGACCGCATACGCACATGCCCAGTTGATACTCCCGTACTTGTGAATCAGGCAAGTCACTTCTTTCATTGGAAAGGAAAGTAAAAGGTGGAAGAACTTCATTCTCTTTGTAAACCTTCCACATGGAAACAGAATGGTTGACGAGAATCTCCCTAGCGCTAAGGGAGGCTATTTGAAATTTTTGTGAAGATAAGATTGAAGCACACAAATAAAAGACATGTTTCTTGGCATCGTTACCTCCTTCTTGGAGTTGAGTCGTAATGTTGAGCTCACACTGAACTTTAGCTTTCATGACAAGAACAATCTGTTCTTCTATAGTGATGGTACCATCAGAATCCAGCTGTGGAAGCAAATGAAATGACATCATTCCCCATCATCTTCAAAATGTGATAAAGCTCTCACTATTTCACTTCCAATCAAGCTATCTGAAACAGTCCCTTATCAGAATGCAATAGTGGGGTTTGGATATCCACTATCCTCCATAGGCTCGTGAACTGAGTATTTGGTCCCAGGTGAAGGTGCTGCTTGGGGGCTCTTTAAAAAGATTGTGTAGAGCTGAAAGAATTAGGTCATCCAGAGGTGGGTCCTTAAGAGAATATTATCCATGAGTACTTCCTGTCTCCTCCCAGTTGCCTAGTTGGCCATGAAATAAGTGAACATCTCTTCTCCACCACATGGTCATGCTGTCAAGATGTTTTACCAGATTTCACAGGTGTCAAGCAATCATAAAGACTGAATGATATGAGACTGTGAGCCAAAATAAATCTGTCCTTCTTTAAGGTTGCTCTGTCCAGTATTTAATCAAAGTAATAAAAGGAAACTATCAACATCATCTTTTGGGGTAATTTTAATATAGTATCAGAAAATGTAAGAAAACTCTAAAAGGTGATTAGGTAATTACATTAGAAATAATTCAATGTAACTAGAAGAAATAATAAATACTGAGAATGCCTAGCATATTATGAAGGCACAATACATTACTAATTCTTTCACAATATGACAATTATGTTATATAGAAATAGAAGAATAACTTTAACTCTACAAGGAAAATGATCAGGAAAACCTGAACATAACACACATCTGACTTTGAGTTTATTTACCTGTGAAAGAAATAGGTTACTCTAAATGATCTCTATTCATCTCCTTGTCTTAAAACCAGGAACTTTATAATGGTAAGATATACACCCACATACCTTTTATCCATTTGATTAGTATTTTATTATTTTTATATGAAAATCATCTGCTTTGTGAAGCAAGAACATAATACCAAGGACATTGAGCACATTTGTGCAAGCGTTGTTCCTGACCTTGGAGTGACATGAAAATGATAGTGTAGTTAAAACTGGAGCAATCTTCCTCCCCAGTTTCTATTACCCCAAAAGCAACAATTGCATCCACAACAAAGTGTCACATTTAGAAAAACAGAAATTAGTCATTTGTTCTGGGAAAGTGATCACTCATAACTTAAAATAAAATATTGAATTCCAATGTCAGAGGCTTAAGATATAAGAGAAGCCTGATTTGGTAGTGTGTGTTATAATGAAAGTTCATAAATTTTTCATGATAGGTATAAATTCTTAATGTCATAATATTGAAGTCCTCATGATTACAATAATTACAATACCTATGTATTCCATTTTCAAGTAGCTATGATGCAATAAACTAGAAATATTCAAGAGGAAGCACTCTGGAATTTTAGGACCAATAGAATAAGCATATATTCCCCTATTCATCCCAGAAACCACAACTAAAAACCCTGGGATAGAGATAAATAGGCAGAGATCAGTAGATAGATTATAGATAAATGATAGATATATAAATACATTCATAAATAGATAGGATGGAAGAATAGATAAGAGGAAGGTCCATAGATAGGTAGATAGAAAATAGATAGATAGATAGATAGATAGATAGATAGATAGATAGATAGATAGATAGATCAGTCAGTTGGTCAGTTGGTGGATAGATAGGTAGGTAGATATATAGATAAGTAGATGACTGATTAGATAGATGATAGAAAGATGGAAATAAAGAGAGAGAGAAAGGGAGGGAGGGAGGAAGGAAGGGAGGAAGGAAGGAAGGAAGGAAGGAAGGAAGGAAGGAAGGAAGGAAGGAAGATAAAATTAAGAATCTTCTGTGAGACACAGAGAAGAAAGCACACCAGGCCAAGACCTCAGATCCTGGAGAATGACACTGTAGAAAGCGACTTGCATTTTCTTTCTGACTCATACACCATAAATGTGCAGTTAAAGTCAATGGAAACTCTAAAACACTAACAAAGATAAAATGGCCTCAAGAAAAGCCTCTGAACCCAAGGAAGGAAAAGAGTATCTGACAATACAGAAAACTTACAGACATGAATAGTCTGACCCCAGTCAATTAACAGCCAACTGTGGGGAGTCTGAATGTGTAGCCTAGCAAGGTGGGCACAGACACCCTTATGATCTCCCATAGTGGTTTGAGAGAAAGGAAAAAAAGAACATTAGCCCTAACAGACTGACTTTTTCAATTTCAATATCTGCATGTCAACAAAGACTCTGCTGGCAACCTAGGAACCTAAAGCATAAAATGGAGTAAGAAATGGGAGGGTGGAGTACAGAAGGAAATGTTAGGTGGGATGAAAAACCCTAAAGACATTTCAAAGTCATATGAAAACCTAGTACTGCAGAAGCTTCTCTATATGTGGTTTAAATGGAGTTACACTATAAAGGGGCAACAATGTCCCTAGTAGACACTACAAACAAAAAACCCAGTGCCAGGAATGGGTTTCCTCTTTTGGAGTTGTTGGCCCATAAAGTCCCATAGATTCCCAAATATTAGAGGCTATTGTCAATGCCCTTGGTTACCCTCCAGACTTGACCGTAAGACCCTGTTGCTGAAGCTGGTATGTGGTTCAATATGGAGAAATCAAGCTAGTTCTCACCTGGAAGCTTCATTCCTTCTGTCTTGTTTCATAGTGCTAGAAGATCCTATGCACACTAACAGAGGAGAAAAGTCTTCACCAATCTTACTCAGTTGTGAACCCTGTGAGCTAAAATAACATCAAACCTGACAAGACTGGTGCAATAGTAACATCATGGAAGTGACCAACCACTTTACAGTTGGATTTAAAGCACACTGTACAAGATGAAACCGAGATCTGGCACAATCGATGGGACCAAAAACTTGTGGCTTGACAGGCCATAGGCCCTATGGGTGCACCTACTACTATAATTCTACTAAATGTACTTAATAAACTGATCTTTAATGACTTAGCATTGCACATATAGATTAGTTCATCTCTCAACCCTCATTACAGACGCTTCTGTTTGGGGTAGATGGTGATTAACAGAGACCCACAACTGGTCAAGGTGCAGAAAATGAAAGACTGTGAAATGCTCAGCCCTAAATGCAACATCCTTACCATACCACTTCTTGTCAAGGCCCAGGGATCATTGAAGATGAGGAAGTGGAAAGAGCCAGAGGCAGTGGATGATATCAAGGGAAGTATTCTCCAAATACAGATGGGCAGTTGCACATATAAACTTGTGGTTAGCAGTTTGTGACAGCATGCACAAGACCTGTACAAGTTCAAACCAGGTGAAGCCCCAGCATGATAAGCAGAGGTGGGTTCAAAATCCCACTCCTAGCTGAGGAGCTCCTAGCAATCGATAAATGCTGGGAAAAGGAAATTCAGTTTTCTTTAGTGATGTGGCCCCTAGTAGGTTGATGTGATGATTTGAAAGAAAATTGCTCCCAAAGGAAGTGGCACTATTAAGAGGTGTAGCCTTGTTGGAGTAGGTGTCCTCTCATTGGAAGAAATGTGTCACCGTGGATTTGGGCTTTGAGGTATCATATATGCTCAAGTCAGGCCCAGTGAGACAGACCCTGTTACCTACAAGAAGAAGGACTCTCAGCTACTTCTGCAACACCATATCTATCTGGTCACCACCATATCCCACCATAATGGACTGAACCTCTGAAACTGTAAGCAAGCCACCCCAATTAAATGTTTTCCTTTATAAGAGTTGTCATGGTAATGGTGTTTCTTCACAGCAATAGAAACCCTAACTAAGACAATTGGCCATGTTCCACATACATCCAAGACTATATGAGCTGCATAGATGGTCTTGGTGAGAATTTAAAAACTTAACAGGATACAGTTGGATAACTAGGAAAGAGGATGGATCTAGGAGGAGTTGGAGGGGGAAGAATATAATCAAAACATATTTTATAAGACTCTCAAAGAAATAATTTAAAAATTAGAAAAAGTGAGTTACAGAAGATGATGTAGGGTTCTCATCTATCCCCGTGCTGTTTTACTTTTGTTATCTTAATAAAACATATTTTTGGGGGTTTTTTTGGTTTTTACAAGACAGGGTTTCTCTGTATTGTTTCGGAGGCTATCGGTCCAGCCCGGCCTCGAACTCACAGAGATCCGCCTGCCTCTGCCTCCCAAGTGAATAAAATATATTTTTATAAGTGACAAATTAATGTTGATGTACTAGTACTACACTTATGCACACATGATCTTTATACAGCTTTCCTTACATTTTAACTTATGTCTTCTTATGTTCCGACATCTCACCAAAATGTCATAGTACAATTCATGATATTTTCTTAGGATTTTCCACACTTCCTCACTTTCAATTATCTTCATAGTTTGGGAATCATTGATCAGGCATTTTACATGAAGTCTGTAGTTAATATTTACCCAGTGTTTTTCTTGAGAGTGGACTAAAGTAACATATTTGGAAATGGAAGGCCACAGAAGTGAGGAGCCATATCAACAGCACCTAGGGTCAACATGCTTTGCTGTGGATGTCAACCTTGGTCTTTCTCTCGGTCTTTATTCAAATATCAAAAGCATAAAACTCATTCCTAGCCCTCAACCTGTGCTGAAGTAGATGATAGGTCATATTTGGATGTCAGACTACAGTTTGCCAATTTGTTTTTAAGTGGATAAATTTTTTGAAAGAAGTTTGAGAATTCAAGTTATATCAACTCAGAATTACCTATTATAGTGAGAATGATTGTAAGAAAATATGCACTGCCTTTATTGGCTGATAGAAGATGTAAAATATATGAGAAAACAAATAGTACAGTGGCTACTGCCTATGGAGCAGTTAGGAAAAATACTGAAGGACACTCAACTATGTAAGATGTACTATGAAGTTATCCTTAACTGTAGATGTCACCACCTATATCAAGAATGTAATCTCTAGAGTGAATCCTCCTTTGGTTTTGTGAAATTACTCAACTTGACTAATTAGGTAAAATTGATAAGTAAAAGGTTTTCAGGGCAGAACTCTTCAGAAATGTGAAAATGATGCATGATCAAACTCATCAATGTTTTATATT